TCACAATTATCTCACCATTAAGGGCCTGTTCATGGTCTTATATTTTAAACACTTAAATTCCCACCTTCCTCCCAGTGCCCTTCTTCATACAAGGATGGAAAACCAGAGGAACAGAGGTGGAGTCTATGCAAAATTTGTACCTCCAGTGCACGAACCTTTTTTTCCAACTGGTGGAAACCGCGCCTTAATCATCACTGGTTCTTGGTTGGTACGTATCATCGGTGTCTCTCCCTTGGGCTCAAACTACAGCAAATCATTCTGGACAGATTTTAGGTGGCTTACCATATTAATTCCTAACCTAAAAATCTCTTCACTTATAAATGAAAGGGCAATTTCTCAAGTCTCAGAGTTAATATTATATATGAAAGGAATTATACCAAACTAGTAGCAGTGGTTATCACTAGTTTATCAGTTAACAGATAATTTGTTTTCTTCTTTGTATATTTTAAAATTTTCTATATTTGTATAGTAAATATTTTATAATCAGAACAATATCATCAATGATATAACCCAAGAATTATCATTCACATGAGTAAATTCTTGGGAGTGATACTCTTGATATAAAACCCCAAATGGTTATAATCCATTCCCTCTCTGGTTTCACAGAATGAAATTCTTCTCGAGAAAAAGACCAAAAAAAGTAACATTTTGAAGCTGAAGTTCCCCAGGACAGAAGAAGAAAGACGAATGCGGACACAAAGTAAGAGGAGGCTGGAAGCTAAAAAGGAGCAGCAGCAGAAGAACTTTGTAGACCTGGCCTGCGAATGCAGCGCTGTCATCTGCTGCCGGGTCACCCCCAAGCAGAAGGCTATGGTGGTGGACCTGGTGAAGAGGTACAAGAAAGCCATCACGCTGGCCATTGGAGATGGAGCCAATGATGTAAACATGATCAAAAGTGAGTCTCTCACACATGGCTAATGCCACCTGATTGTTAGAGAGAAGAATGGCAGGAACATTTTTGGGGGTAGATTTTTTAAATTTCATTCTTGGGCTTTCCTAAAGCAGACCTTTAATCAAGGCACTTAACCGTGATGGCTATACCTGTGACCCTGCCCTCAGGAAGCTTACAGTACACCCAGTAGGAGAGAGTAGGGAGGCATGGCTGCTAACTCACAGAGTGCCAAGTAGAAGATGTGTTCCATTTGGGTGAACTTGTACTTATTTCCTTCTTTTACATATGTTTGGATATTTTTTCTTGCTGTTTCTCCTCCTGTATTTCTTTAGGGCTTATTATAAAGCCTGCTATTTAATAAGGTTTGCAAAAATTTCTGCTGAGCTCGGCTTAAGTCGTTGAACTCTCTTTGGTATTTGTTGTGGGAAATATGCTCCCTTATCTAAGCATCTTTTTCTGGGATTCTTTTTCTTGTCTTTGGTGAATCTGTTGGAACTTTACCATTGGGTGACCTGGTGTGAGCTAAGAGTAACACACTTGGTTCCAACATAGGCTCAGCATCCTCCTGACCTCCCAAGGCCGTTTTGCTGGTTGGACCCTAGGTACCAACACATAAAGGGACTGAGTCCTATTATGCAGAAATACAGTTTTGCTGGGCATGCAGAACCAAACCCTCATCAACATGTCTAAATCCCCTGGCCCTTTTATTCCTCCTTGTATTACTGTATGGGAGTATCCTGTAATGCAAATGCCCAAGTTAACGCGGTCTGAATGCTTGTCCTCATCATACTGCCAACAGGCTGTGTCAGCCTGGGCTTATGCTCAGGCCTCACTTTGCTCATCTGAGAACAAGAAATTTACCTCTGATGTCACCTCTAGCTTTGTGATTTATCAAGATGAGTTATCCATGACATGTATACACACGTCTTGTGGTGCTGGACAGCTTAAATGCATTATGTTTAACTAGACTTTTAATTCAGCCTGTTTTGTAACTCATGCATCTGTCTCTTTCTTTCCTTAGAGTCTCTTCCTCCTCCTCCCTGATACATACTAAGAATATTCCAACTTTATCTTCCTCAGGAGTCAGCTATATGACGTATGACTTCTTGCTTCTTTATCATGTGTATGTCTGTGGCCACTGCCAATTTAATTCCTCTCCACTGTTTTGCATGTGCTCATCTTACCATGTGAATGGCATTTCTTGCTCTGAATTAGATCTATTATTTCTTCCTTCTGTATCCCCAGCTCTAGTGTGTTTTCCATTATGTACCTTTAACATAAATGTCTGTGCCAAACGGGCAAGTCTCTCAAACATTATTTTTCTTCAGTTATGATGAAGACTTCTAGATATTGGAAAAGGGGATTACCTTGCAGATTTACTATCTGATTATGTGATTGAGACTTAAAACTTTTTCATTCCTCTGAGTTCACCAATTGATAGCAAAAGGGATTACGGAAGGTCAGCACAGAATAGACTGTTCTTAAGTTCTAAAAAACTTTATTAAGCTCAGTTATATGATAGATGCTTTTATATATAATGTAGGAAGCATCTATTTGGGAAGATCAGATACTTAGGTCTCCTTGGAAGTCAGTAGCTTAATCCAAATGTTAAGTACCTTTCTGTACTTTGTGAAATTGTTATGTTTTTCACTTGCTTCAAGAGCAATGTACAGAAAGAAATTACGTTGTTTATAAAGAAGTACAGTGAAATTTTAGTGTCAAAAAAAATCTGACCATTTGCTAACATGGTTCATGGTTAGAGGTGTAGCCCAGCAGAAGTGGAAGAATGCCATCCACCATGGTTGTGCCCCTATCAAGGATCCAAGGATTCTCAGAGGCTGCCCTCTCCCTCTCTCGTGTCTGAAGATGGCTGGTGGGTGTTGTTTCCCTTGGTCTAAGATCCTAAGAGTAAACAAGCAGCATTAGAGACGAGACAGGGGCAGAAAGGCTTGAGGACACAGACTGTTAATGAATTAAGCAGCAGACTTCCAGGGAGGCATTTGAAACTTCAGGAAAATCTGGGTGCCTATATTTAGATTTTAGGAGCAAACAAACAAAAGTAGTGTGCCTTATAAAGTACATCTGTTCAGTCGCTTTGAGGCAGCCTGTGAACCGTGGCACTGTTCACTTCATGTTCTGTCCTTGGTCAGCTCAGCAGAGGCTGGACTGGAATGTCAGGGCCTGGGGCAGTGGCTCCTCTTCCTTGGCTCTGACGGAACCTCAGCATTTCCCTGCTGCTTGTTCAGGAAAGAAGTCCGTGGTTTGGTAGGAAAGAGCAGTTTGGCAACCATGACTGGTCATTAAGAACTATTTATGTGTTTTGAAAGAGATCATAAATATTGAGATGTAGTTTATTCTACTTTTTAGAATTGCGAAGTATTATTAAAACCTTAGGTTTTGGACAAGTCACTGCGTTACGTTTTGAATTTGCCAGACCTTGTGTTCTGCAACTGGGGCAGGATGTTTGGAGCCTCTTTTACATGGAAATTGCTGGCTGACCTGTCTCAAGGTCTGCCTAATGACAGGCTGTGTTCTCCAACACAAGTTCTTAAAATGATCTCATTACCTGTCTTCACTTCTAAGATTCTTAAGATCTAGATAAAACTCATAATTCTCTAAGTTGAGCATATGATTTAATGACTGTTAGAAGGATGGATAAAATTGGAACCTTCCTTTTCATCCATTCTGGAAACCCGCCCCCCCCCACCTCCAAAAAACCAGAAAACACTTGTGTGTCTTAAGGTCTCAGCTGGCCATGAATAAGCCTTTGAAAGTGTAATAGTATCTGAGCTAAAACACTTTTGATTGCAAGTACTGGAGAACAACCGAAGTCAGCTTAAGACAAAAAGAAATTTATTTTAAGATACAGATATGTCTTGTGCTGCTCAAGAAGTCAGGCCTCAGGAAAATGCTAGAACCAGGACCTGGTGCTACACAGGAACCCAGCGTCTGTTGTCTCTCTCACCCTCTCTCTAAACTACTTTATTCTCTGCCCCCCAGAAAGAAGGATAGCCATCCCATCCTAATTCCAAAATGCCAAGAGCGACTGGCCCAGCTCAGGTTTTCTATCAGCCAGGGTGTAATACAGGAAACAGACCTCTTTAGGTACTTTAAGCCGGAAGTGATTAATACAAGGGACTAGGTTCCCATGAAATTCTGGAGGGACTGAAGCAGCAGGTTTTAGGCTTTGTAATGTCTGTGTCACTCACCAGAGAAGCTTCTAGCTTTGAGGCTCCTCTGAAGAGCTTTTCAATTGAGAAGCCTTCGCAGTGGTTTATCAACATTTGGGCAGCTGGAGAATGGATAAGAATTCTGCTGCAGAATGTCAGAATGGGAAGAGATGCTGGGCTCTGATTCACTTCTGCTTCCAAGTCACAAGTGAGTCCAAACAGTGGAACCGAATTCACAAAGAACCCAGCTGCAAAGGAGTCTGAGCGATGTAGCGTTTTTTTTTATTTGCTTTCCCACCTCTCCAGTTAGAATAAGGGGAGAATGAAGGTTAAGAGCCAGTTCATAGTATCTACCAGATTATATACCTGCTCTTGGCTGACTCAGCTGTGGCCAGGGAGGCAGGGACACAGGGTACACATGGGTACCTGGGACTCACCTTGTGGGTGGGAAGGATGGCTTATGAGCTGGGCAGATAATCCAAATGGCATTTACCACTCACCTGAGGTCCTTTCACAAATATTTATGAAGGCTCAACCATGTGCTCTGTTTGGCAACTTGTTCCTCTGACTTTGAGTTGAGTTCAGAAGCTGAAGGTAGGGGATGGTGAGCAAGAGTTTCCATATGTATTGTTTCATGAATGTTTTTTTCTTTCCTGTATTGCTACTAAACATTTTTATCATCTCAATGTTTTGCCCCAAAATAAGCTTATGATTCACAGTATCCTCTCCCTCGGCCCCACAGCTGCCCACATTGGTGTTGGAATAAGTGGACAGGAAGGCATGCAAGCTGTCATGTCAAGTGACTACTCCTTTGCCCAGTTCAGATATCTGCAGAGACTGCTGCTGGTGCACGGCCGGTGGTCTTACATAAGGATGTGCAAGTTCCTGCGATACTTCTTCTATAAAAACTTTGCATTTACTTTGGTTCATTTCTGGTACTCCTTCTTCAATGGGTACTCTGCACAGGTAACGTATCATCGTCGTCCTGTTATTATAGGAGTAGACCTCTTAGCATGAATACAACTACTTCTGAAAAAAAAATGTATTTTTTCCCTCCATATTTGCAGCTTTGGTGCTTTCTCTCTTTATAGTTGAAGCACAGACTAATTAAGTTTATGGATTGCTTTTCTAAAAAGTTTCTGGTACTTAAAGGCAAAATATGTTTAAAGAAGGTAGGATTTGTTTCTGTTCTATTGGCTTTATGTTTATGTGTTTTTGCCTTCACCTTAAGGTTTCCTAAGTTACCTTGCCATTAAGAATAGTGAATAACAACAGTTGGAGGGTACAGCTCAGTGGGAGAGCATGTGTTTAGCATGCACGAGGGTCCAGGGTTCAATCTCCAGTACCTCCATTTAAAAAAACAATAATTAAAAAAAATTTTTTAAAGGATAGTGACAACTGTTCAACTTTGAACCAACTGTTCTAATTTTAAGTATAAAATTATATTGTGCCCAAGGCTGAAGGGATTATGTAAGTTTTGGATGATAACAGATCTATTATCACATCTCCATTTGTTGTTGGTTTATTTTTATTTTTGCTGAAATGGAAGTGGGGGGCATATCTAACATGTTAAAAAAAATGGTGATATAGCAGAAAAATACCATTAGTAACAAATGAACCTAAGTCAGTGCCTGTGGTTGTCCAGACCTCTCTGACGCTGTGCCACAGACAAACGGCATCAGAGGAGGCCAGGAGTGACCTTGAGCAGGGCTGGGGCCTTCTTCCAGTTTGGTGCAGGACTGTAAATCACTGCTGGCGCCAAGTGAGCCCGGTTTCCTCTATCCCATCCAGACGACTGGTGTGTGCACAGCCTTGCTTATCCCTTTCAGAAGCATCTTTCTTATATTCAAATTCTGTTTTATAAAGTGTTTAAATGGGAATGCTGGACTGGCAGGGTAAAAGCAAGGTGAGTGGTACTTACGTGCTTCTGAACCAGTTGTGTGTAATCTAATTAATTAAAAGGAAGAACACTGATTTGTTTTCCAGCAGCAGTAAAATAGACCGGACTCCTTTTCCACAAACTTTTGGCGTATACTTCACCGTTTATTTTAGGGGGAGAAGTAGTTTCTGTGGAAAAGCCCTTTGATTCTCCCCATTCCGTAAAAACAAACTCATTGCTCTTGCTGGTGTCGCGGAGGGGTGTCTGCTCTCACGGGGCGCATCCCTGCTTTCAGAGGGTAGGCTGACTAGACAGGCAGGCATTTCCTGGTCGGTGACACAGACCCTGTCTCCCCCCAGACTGCCTACGAGGACTGGTTCATCACCCTGTACAACTTGCTGTACTCCAGCCTGCCCGTCCTCCTCATGGGGCTGCTCGACCAGGTAGGAGCCCCGCGCCCAGAGGGACGCGTCTGGACAGCTGCCTGCCTGCGCGAGAGGTTCAGAGCGAACATTTCAGTGCATTCTTTTGGTTTTCACTTCTTTCTGAGTAAACCCTATGATATTTCTGCTGTCAGGCAACAAGAGTAACTGCGGTGCTGCTTGCTTTTATAGGAAGAAAAGAGGATTTCTGTGCCTGGGTTGAATTCATTGACAAAAGAGTTCATTATACTCCTTTTGGACACTAAGACTTTCTTGTTAAGATACCTAACAGTATGTTTCTATAATAATCACTTACACATTTTAAAAGTCAATTATTTTAATACTTCCCCAAACTTATGTGTTTAATTCCTAAATTAGTCCACATTCTTCCTAGTAGCAATTCTTAGAGAAAGTGCTCTTGTGAACAAAAATAATAATTTGGAATAAACTCATCAACTTGTATGTGAAAATGCTTCCCCCCAAAATTAGAAACAGCATACTCTCTCAGGAGGTAAAAACAGGCTCCCTGTACTTTTTTCCTAAACATTACTAAGTTGCTTTCTGTAAGTGGCAAAATAATACATTTCTACCTAGTCTCTCTCAGAATTAAATATCAAATAATGGTGGACCGACTACAGTAATGAGGTGGTTCTCTGAATACTGAACTTACTCAGGATTTATCACCTTGTTTAGTTTTTGCCTTCCTAAAACTTAGCAAGTTGAAACTCCTTGTGAGATAGAAGCTGTCATGTATCTCTGAGTTCTTTGATACTGGTGGACAGCACACAACTCTTAATTTTTCTGTTTTCCCCTGAAGGATGTGAGTGACAAACTGAGCCTCCGCTTCCCTGGGTTATATGTGGTTGGACAGAGAGACTTACTATTCAACTACAAGAGATTCTTCGTAAGCTTGTTGCATGGAGTTTTAACATCAATGATCCTCTTCTTCATACCTCTTGGAGCTTATCTGCAAACCGTGGGACAGGATGGAGAGGCGCCTTCAGACTACCAGTCTTTTGCTGTCACGATTGCCTCTGCTCTTATAATAACAGTCAATTTCCAGGTACGCGAAATCGACGGTTTTCAGTATCTGTTGGTACCCGTATTTCTGTAGGGAGACCAGCATGCGCATCTTCCTGGCTCCCATTTTCCTCCTCGCGAGCCTCTGCCGCTTACAAATATGAATGAATGCTATTTTCATCCCTTATACCAAGCACATTTCCTGTTTCTTGCCTGAGCCAAGGATAGTTTGATTGCTCAGTATTTAAGCCAAATCATGCCTAAATTGCTGAATTCTATTTTCAGAATCCCTGGATCCTTTATTTCTTGCTAACTCCCCAAAATGAGTGCTCTGTTTTTCTTTGGTTTCCCAACAGATTGGCTTGGATACTTCTTACTGGACTTTTGTGAATGCTTTTTCAATTTTTGGAAGCATTGCACTTTACTTTGGCATCATGTTTGACTTTCATAGTGCTGGAATACATGTTCTCTTTCCATCTGCATTTCAATTTACAGGTTGGTATTTTCTAAATTCCAAAAATAAATGAATAGAAAATGTCATTAGCTTAGATTCTGACATAACTTCTAAGTAAGTAAAAATAAAGTGTAAATTACTGCTCATTAAAATTAACATCCTGACCAGAAACTGAATGGTAGTGGTGCACTGGAAGGGTGGTGATGATGGGAGGAAAGAGAATTAGAATAACTTAAAGTTATTGTGCCTTTTTTTTCTTCCATAAAACCTAATATTGATAGGTTATTGGGAAATTGAGACTATATGTATTGCTGGTAACACTATAATATAGTTTAACCTTTCTAAAACACTACCTGGAAATACATAATGAACTTTAAGCTAAAAAACACCAAATTTTGGAAAGGTAATATGTATAAAGACTGTATCACTACAATGTTTCTAATTGTTGTTTTTTCTTTTTAATTGAAAATAACCCAAAGACCTAAGAATATCAAATTAGCTAAACAAACTATGAATCCCATATGATGGAATTCCAGAACTCATAGTTGACTACATCATTGGAAGTATACATGCAGAGCAATAAGTAAACTTATGGAAAACAGTTTACAGCTGTATAAAATATGTGACAAACTGCCAAAATGCTCGAGTGAATTTGAACTGATAAATATCATAAATTTATAAATAGCACAAATTGGAATTTATGAACTTATTATGGATAGAGTAGCTTGGATTCACAGTGGGGGGAAAAAATCCCCATAAACTCATTTCCCTGTAAAAGATTAGTTTTTTGTTTGTTTTTTTATGACCAGTTGTTGGGTTATAAAAGACAGTTGCTGTGGTAACCCTCTTCTTTTTGGGACCGAGCTCACTTTTTTATGATTGTGTTCTTTACTAACTCTGTGTTTTAAAATTTTAGTAACCAGTTACTTAGAGTATTCCTACAGGGAGTATTTTTTTAAACCCATTTAGCAGTACAAAAACCACATTTAAAAAACAAAGGCTATTCTTTTTATAAATTCATGGTGTAAGGGTAGAAAATATTGTGACAAATTTGGCTCTAGTTTTAAAATTGAGTAGTATATATATGATTACCTGGTTGTATTAGAGAACTGAATTTGTTACTTCCTCTAACATAAAAAAACTAGAAGCTGAATTGCAGTGGAAAAAGCCTGGCTCTAGTCAGATGAATGTGGGTTTTAATTCAGGAGTTGCCATAATTTGTTCTGTTACTTTGGGCAAATTTCTTTACTTATCCGTAACTCAGTTTTTTTATGTCATAAAGAGGGCAATACTCATCTCTCAGAACTGATTACATGGCATGATCTGTATAAAACATCTAGTACCAGGCTTACCTACCACAAATGGTAATGCCCATTTTTAAAATGTGGAGTTTCTAATCAAAACTATAAATCAAAAAGTGCTTAACTTCCTGAAAAACTTCAGAAGGATAAATTGCCTCCTTTTGTGTTTTAAATCAATGCAGTGTCAACAAATGTATATAAGTCAATGCAAAAGGAAAAAAATAAAGTACACTTGTCTTGTCCTAAAGAATTTACCTTCCTAATTTTGCTGCCTTTAATCTGACATTTTGAAATGTTCATTCCCGGAACAGTGATGGGATGTTTTGGGGAGGGCAACCTGGTTGTTAAAGCTTACTGTAGAGAATCCATTTCTGGACTGCGGAATATTAACTATGTCCTTGGGAATGAAAGGACCCCTGTGACTCATGCTCTGTGTTTTTCCCAGGCACAGCTTCAAATGCTCTGAGACAGCCGTACATTTGGTTGACCATCATCTTGACCGTTGCTGTGTGCTTGCTGCCTGTCATTGCCATACGTTTCCTGTCCATGACCATTTGGCCATCAGAAAGTGACAAGGTATAGAAAAAAGTCTTCTCCTAACTGAGTCCCTCTTGCAGAAATCAAAGCATTTCCCCAAAGCAGCTTTCCTGCAAAATTCTAAGCTCTTGGGAAGTTTGGTATGAACGTTTTTTATGACTACGTCTCATTGCTTGCTTTTTTTTTTTTTTTTTTTCTTACCATGCTGAGATTTTTTGCAACCTAGCATGATCCTTTCTTACCGATGCTGTCGTGGAGATGAGACCATCGGTCAGAGACAGTGAACTTTATAACTAACAGCAAGAGCTGCCAGGGTTAACTTTTGTATCCATTCACTAATCTCAGATGAATACACAGAGTGAAATATTGATGCCTGCAGAAGCAGTGGGCTGTTAATAGGAAGAAAGTTTTAGGCATGGTGAAACACTAATTATATTAGTATCTTTATGTATTACTTATTAGAATCACTTATTTATTAGTATCTTGAAATAGGATAAGTATATCATGACTCAAGTTTACTTGCTGCAGAAACAGTCATGTGAAATGACATGGGAAAAAATGACCATTGTGTTTCCATTTTTCCTTCCACTTCTATTGATATATAATTGGTGTAGAATTGCTTGCTTTTTATTACAAAAATTATCACATATAAAAAAGAATGGTATGGAAAATACAATAATGAACCCCCATATATCTAGCTTCTCAATTTAACAATTATATTATTAATATTTTGCTAAGTGGAGATTCATTTAAAGGAGAATGTCACCTTGTGGCAGAGTCATTCCAGCTACAAGTAACAGAAAGCTGTGGCTCAAAATGGTTTAATAATAAAGTATCACCTCTGTTCACATCCTAATTACGCTGCAGGCTCAGTTGAGGAGACTGAGGTTCTTTCCACGTCCTGTACTGTTTTCACTATTAGCTTCATCTGGCAGCTGGAAGATGGCATTGCATCCTGACATGTCAACATCCAGGGGAAGATTTTTAAAAGACTGATTATTCTGTAGCTTTCCCTTAGGAGCCTTGGAACTTTTAAAGGAAGGGCCCAACACACATCCCTCAGTTCTCACTAGCCGGAATGGTCTCACATGCCTATTCCTCGACTAGTAGGGAGCAAGGGAGATCGGTCAGCCCCACCCCTGGGAGTGGCATCCACATGCCAGAAGGAGGGTGGTACCTGAACAAACTCTTATTTCTATCAGAAAGGAGAGAGAGCAGATGCTAGGTAGGCAAGCTTCAGTATCCCTTCGATCTCCCTCTTCCGTTGACAAGAGGATGCAGCAGCAACACAGGAAAGAAACTAACAAATCTTTTCTTAAACCTGTACCAGTTTATGAGTTGGAAAGAGCACTAGTTTAGGAGTGGGAAACCGGGCTCTCCCTTTTCTAGCTTTGAGAGCTAGGAAATATCACGTAACCTGTCCCCCTCCATTTCCTTGTCTATGAAGCGAAGATGGTTAGCCAGCCCAAGATGAGGCAGGGGTCAAAAAGCCTAGGAGAGGTGCCCCATCAGTATGACCCGGCTCCCTTCGCCATCACAGACCTTTACCTCCATTCAGTCCACCAGCTCTTTTTGACCCTGCCCCATCTCTCCCTCTTCTGTAGATTCAGAAGCATCGCAAGCGATTAAAAGCCGAAGAGCAGTGGAAGCGGCGGCAGAGCGTGTTCCGCCGGGGCATGTCTACGCGGCGCTCTGCCTATGCTTTCTCCCACCAGCCGGGCTACGCCGACCTCATTTCCTCCGGGCGTAGCATCCGCAAAAAGCGCTCTCCTCTGGATGGAGTCATAGCCGATGGAACGGCAGAATACAGGCGAACTGTGGAGAGCTGATGCACTGCCCTCCAGGTGGCCAGTAACAAGACAGTCATACAAAGGAAATGTCTGTTTTTTTAAATAAGAAACTCTCAGGACTTTTTTAAACTGAATTTGTCACGAGGATGTTGAAGACAATCACCTTTGTAACAAGCTACTTGGGTTGGACTACTGCAATAGCAAAGCCAAGATCTTTTTAAAAGCCCTATTATTGGACTGCTGATGTTATGTTTCAAAGTGAACATTTTAACCTAGTCTCAATCTAGGACAACAGAATTAGAAAACGTCTTATATTTCAATTCCAATGGTATTCATTATAAAATTACAATTAGATTTTTCAGACTGGGATTGTCAGCATGAACTTCCCAGAGGCTCCTTTTTTCCCTAGAGGCTACCTTATTAACAAAGATCTTTTATTTATAATGGTAATGACAAAAGATTCATGAACCTTCATCACCTAGAAGCTAAGGTGGTCTGATGATTTTCTGAGTTGTTAATGGGCTGCATGGTTTCATGTTCTCATATTGGTTTAATAATTCAGTTCAATCAACGAAAATTACTTCACATTTCATAGGTACAATGTTTTGGTTTACTACCAGGTTAAAGAGCACATTCTATACGTTTACCCTTACTAGTGTATATTATTTCAGCCCCTTCTTGTAGTACCAAGTGAGTTTATTTTCTACTTTCATTTTTAAAAATGCATTTAAATATGTATGGGCTTTTTTAAAAAAGCTTTTAAAAACTGAGGGTATCAGTGATAAACTGCAGAATATTTTGCAAAGCTTTCTTTTGAAAAGCAACCTTTGTGCCTGCCCTATATGTATTTTATAAGGGATTTGAACAGAGACCTCACTCTTTCACTTGTCTTATATTTGGAATGAAAAGGCTGTTGGTAGCCATATTTCTAAGATTAGCAGTGTATCCTTTTAAAATTGGAGATAACTTTAGGCAATTATGGAAACTATCCTCAAGGAGGTAAAAGTTACTCAGAGGCTTTCCCATTCTGTGTGTATCACACACCAGTTTCCATATTTCAGTAAAGATACAGAAGTGTTTTCAATAATTCTGTTCTTTACCATTAGGCTGTGAATGTTCACAACATCTATTCCTTTAAACTCCTATGAGGAAATCACAGCATGTATATAGTTCATTTTCTAGGTGTGATAAAAGAATGTATAGCTCTTTATGCTATGGAAGTAAACTTCTGGAGGTTTACAACTTTTATCTTGTAAATAGAAAAATTGTAAGTTTTTTTTTTTTTTTTTGTAAAGGAAAGTTAGCTTGTGTGATTCTTTCAGTTTCAGATTTCTCTCCTGTTTTGAGAATTGTGGGAAAGGTTGACAACGCAAATGTGTCAAAGACTTACATGGTTGGGTGCAATATCAACAATTTTAAAATGC